TTAATGCTTTTAAGAAGGCTCTTAAAACTCATTTATTTCAGAAGGCGTTTCTCAGCTAATTTATTGTTTTTATTCTTTTTATAAAGAAGGATTTGTAAATAGTATTTTAAAGAATAATTAATTATTGTTTTTAGAATTTTAGACTCATTATTTTTAACAAATTATTAGGAGCGATCTGTAAATAAGACTTTAAGGATTAATTAATCATTGTTTTTAGAATTTTTTGAATTAGAATATGTACTAGGATTTTAGGATTTTGTTGAGTCAATGTAATGCGCAGATGAAAATTTCTTTCCCTAGATTGATATTTGCGCAACACAAATTAATAAATATTATTATGTATTATTATTACTCCCCGGGCTTGCTAACATAAAGTGTACCTTGAGCTATTTTTAATTACACGTAATTTAAACATATTGATATCAGTAAGCAATAGTGTGAGCAGGTTTTTTAACGTCACAGTAAAAACTAACGCTTACCAATTAGAAAATACATTGGATTTAATAAATTGGATTTAAAGAGCACAAATACGGACAAGAAACAAAAACGAAATATAAAACAATTGGAAAAACTGTAACTGCATGTAACATCATTTGAGTATCGGTCAGTTGTTGATGAAATGTTTAGTTTCGCAAATAGAGACACCTGTAGTTTGGTCGAGTGATAGGTCAGGGCACTGGGAGCTAGGGTTCATCCTCTGAATTGGATCTGTTAGTTCATCTCGTCATCAAGAAACCGAATTACTTCGCCTGCTTTCAATTGACTGAATATCTTTTACTACTAATATTACACTACAGACGTCACTTTACTTAATAGGTGTATCTGACAATTAGCTGAATGACTGTTCATTCCGGACAACTAAGATTGGTCCAAGTAAACGAACTCTTTTTTTCTCCCTAGTTGCGTGCTTTTGTAGCGTTTATAGCCATTTCTTGTTTTACAAATTCAAGAATATTTAAGTTTACTTTTAGGGTACGTTAGATTGATCGGCAGACGTATTCCGATATAAGAATACGCAAACGCTTCGTTACAAACCTCTCCTTGAACCATTTAATTTTTATATAGATCGCAATAATTTACTTCAAGCAGTTTTGTAAACATTGCACAATACAATGAAAGGCAAAACCAGTGATTTCTAGACTTTATTCCATTTATTCGTATTCCGAAATACGGCGAATCGAACACGCCCTTCTATGCGACATCGATCAGCCATTCATTTCCTTCTTTAAAATGGAGACTCAATAATTAAAAATAGTTATGGGAGGGGGGAAGAACAATTGAAATGAGAAGAAGGAGGAGGAGGAGGAGAACAACAGAATTTGGGTGGTGGTGTTGTTAGAAAAAGCAAAAAAATAGAAGAGGAGGGAAATATTTGAAATGCAGAGGTATCGAAAGTAGATAAAGAAGAGTAAAAAGTTGTGTTTTTTGATAGTTTGTCTTCGTCCTCGTCAATATGCATAGTTTTTGCGCCAAGAATCAGTGCACCGAAACAGGAAAAATTCGTTGTCTGCATTCATTTGGACAATGAAAGCGACAGGAAAGAGAACTTGTATAATTACCTTACGGTTCAGTGATTTTGAGTCACAGGTGGCTTCAGGAGCAAATAAATGTGTGACGTGACCAATTTGCATAAACTATGAAATCATCGTGACCAAATAAGGACATGATCCCTACAAGTTACATCATTGATCTATATATAACAGACTGGTTTAAAAAAACCTAAAACTAGCACGTGACCTTATCTTAATGAGATTCCACCGCAAGAAAACGGCCTAACCGGTGCGCCATATACTACTAGGAATTTTCAGTAAAGTAAATAAATGATGGATGATAGAAGTAAATTAACAAGGGCAATACAAAAGGGTCTTAAAAAAGTCAAAATCACTTTAGTTAACTGAGGGAGGGCAAAAAATTATCTACCAAACAAGGGGAGATTTCTGTTAAAACTCAGAATGGTCATACGTTTAAAAGTGTGGACTGTGGACGTATTGTCCGATCGAAAAAAGCAACACAAAATAACGCTGGGACGTCCTATAATTATTTCATCAAAGAGCACGCATAAGGTATCTATTTTACATGGAACTTATTCTGATTAATATGAAAGAAAGTATCTATAGATCTCAGGGTGAAAAAGCAAGCCACTATCATGCCTTTTTTGTTGCTACGTTGGAAATGTACTAAGACAACACTTCAAAAGTCACGAGTGAAGGTTTACAAAGCATGTTGACTCGCAAACCTTCCCAAATTTTCCAATCGTAGAAATTCTACAAACGGTTGCTTTTTTGAGAAGTGAAGGTCGCCTCATGAGATCTTTTCGTTGTTGGGAATTTTTCTGGCGTTGAAATTAAATACCAGAAACAATTACCTCAAAACTGATTCACGGTTTCTTCTTTGAATGAATAAGAATCTGGTTTCGCTTCGCCGGACATGTCAAATGTCATAAAAATTAAAAGAACAAGAACTATTAACCAATCAACTTGCAAGAGGTTTTCTTAGGAATTGAACAAAAACTTTGTCTTGCCTTATGGAACCTGTTAAGTCTACAAAATCAAAAAAATATGAGCTGATTAAAAATGAATACTCTTTTCCAAAATGATAGGAAAGAGTCACTATATATCGAGATTTTCTATGAAAACTATATCCTCTGATTGATTGTATTTCTTGAGAGATCAGATGTTCAGATGAAATATACCGCGAGGTTTTCAAAGACAATTATTTTGGCCTTTTAGAAGTCGACTGCACTCCTTTAACGTTAAGTCTGAATAGTCAGGCATATATTAACGACTACTGAAGCGAAACAATAATCACTTGATTAATCATTAATGTACCAATTTAAATACCAGTGTAGAGGAAAAACGTTCAGTTCAAATTTTTCCTGAGGAAGTTGAACGCAACAGGACTGCCCGAAGATTTCAGGTAAAATTGTCAATTATTTTTACACTCACGCTCACATTCCACGGCACAAAAGAACCCATGCAGGCACTTAAGGATAGCAGCACGTGAAGATAGACCATAAATTTATCAGACATCGTTTATTCTAAATTGTTGACCAAATATAGCCAATCAGACTTACAATAGATTCAAACAAGGTTAAAGACTTTGTTTTACACTTTTATCAATGACCGCAAAGAAATATAGCATATCCTAGATAGTTCCCTCCTCAAAATGCTTCTTACTAGATACCTGGGATTAGAGTCAAGACAATTTTTCAACAACAACAGCAAAAAAAATTGGCTACATTCTTTACCATAGAAAAGGTGACACAATGTTAAACCATACGTTTTCAAAACTTAAAGACCAAGAATTTTGGGTTAAATACGGATAGCGGCCCTCTGCATTTCAGCTGTTTCTGTTTTTACAAAGGAGAATAATTATAAAAAAGGGGGTAAAGTTTGATTTACAATTTAGATTGTGCAATTTCATTTGGAAAATAGTCTTAAAAGGAAGAAGGGGCCCATTCAAAATTGGTATTAAAACAACATGTTGAAGTTAAAGTCCTTTGAAAGTAACAAATGGTAGTTTAAAGCAAGAAAATTGGAAGAATAGTGATTCAAAGGACATCTCGTCATGTATGAGTTTATCCTCGTACCTTTTTCTTGCGACAGCTCCATTTGATTAATTATTTAATTTTTTATCAATTTATTACAACAAATATTCTTTCCGTTGAAGAAGTAACTAGCAAAAAAATATATAAAGGGTAAACGACCCGGTTATCTAGCTGAATACTTCATTCTTTTTACTTAGCCATTAAATATATATGGGTTCAAGAAAGTTTTTCAACACCTGCTGGTTCTATCTTATTCTGGTCTTGAAGTTTAAATGTTAATAGCGAGTAGTCTTCAAGCCCAAAAAATCGCAGTAAACCTCTTTTTATTTAGTCCGTTGGATATATAACTGTCGGCAACCTAGGTGCTTTAGGATTCCATTCCCCTTGCTAAGTTGAAATGAGGTGAATAATGCCTTGACTAGCGATAAGACTACAGCCATGTTTAGTAACGAGCTGAAATTGCCATATTTTTCTTAGTTAGGACAATATGTTTTGTAGGTATCCATGTTCAAAACCATTTTCTGATTTATTGTCGTTTGCTCGTAGGCCTCCTGGTAACCTTAAAAATCCGCACTGTGCATGTTCATTTAGTTAATTACTATACAAGATAGTCATCTGTTTAAAGTGCATTAATAGTAACCTTTACTACTTTAACAGGTGCAATGGGGCAATTGTGGCTTCATTCTTTGGTGATTTTCATTGTCCTTTTCCTGCCGAACATTCAAGCTCAGAGAACAGGTAACGCCTTCTTTACTTCCTTTCCTTTTTTCTGTAGACCACGACCAGGCCCTTCTGTTTTTGATCATTTTACGATTTCGCTCACTGTGCGTGGCACTGAGGAAGGAAGGGCAAGGGCTCATGGCGTAGGACCGCGACAGCGCTTTTGACTTTGACTTTGTCCTCAAGCGTCCGCACAGGTTGAAATGGCAGTTGATTTTATAGTCAGAGGCTCCTTTTCAAGCAGTCAAACTCTTCATTTGACAATTAACTAAACGCTTCCGCTTTCTGGAAAGCCTTCCCTTGGCTAGGATTTTTAACAAAAATCTACAACTCGAAGATATACACTTCGTTGATGTCTTAGACAAGTGCAAACCTTATGTGACTGGGCTAGCAAGATTAGATTTCAGTGATGGCAAGATCAAATTAATGGTATTTATAATGATGAATTTTCTTCACGTATAATCATTAATGGGTGATTTTATTGCAACGCGAAGCCAACATTTTCGGCTTATTTCCTACCATAATATTTTCTTTATAATTAATTGAGGCCATTTTCTTAAACACGTTATTCACAAAAAAAACTTTTTATTGGTTTTTGGACTCTGTGTTGTACAACTGAATAAGAACTGACTAGGAACTAACTACTTCATGTTAAAAGTATTAAAAGTCTTTTTTATATCAGATCTCACCATTTGATTCTGCAGTTTATACGTTTGAGGATGCTGATCACTTGATGGCCTTTAACGCGCCATCATCTACATTGGAACGTTCTTCAACTCATTATAAGGACGGTACACATTCTATGAAGTGGACATGGACTAGTGGCAATGAATTCACACATACAATTTCTGTAAGTCTAATTATATATGAAGCACATGCTATCTAGGAACGGTTTAGACGGCTGTTGGGATAGCCATAGTGAAATTGTGAATAGGCAGTCAGAAACATATGATTAAAACTGGCCGGTAGAATAGACATTCAACCTGTCCAATTAATCTAGATCTAATCATACCGTTAAATTCTGAAATTAAGCTCAGGGGCTTCTAATTTTCAAAGGCTCTTTTTAGGGGCTTATTTTTGGAGGGGCTTATTTTCGGAGGCGCTTATCTACGGAGAAAAATTTTCGTTTCAATATAGATTGGGCTAGCCTTATAGTTGGAAGTAAATTTAACGTTTTTGCTTTGTTTTACTTTGTATTTGAGGGCAATTTTCCAAGTACAAGCCCGCGGGGGGGCTATATTTGGAGGGGCGATTTAAAGGCGGGTTTTTGCGTTACCGGTTTGGGGGGGCTTATATTTGGAGGGGCTTATACATGGAGGGGCTTACTTTCGGAATTTTACAGTATTTTTCTTTGTTTTCAAACTGCAGTATTGTGTCCCAAATACCTATCAATAGCCAAGCAAAGAACTCCAGTATTTACGTTGTTATTGTGCGAAAATGGTGACGTTTTTACTCTCGTATATCTCTTATTTCAAATCTGTTTGCAATGCTGTTAATGTTGTGGTGCAAAGTTATCCTTGGTCTAAGTTTTTATTTTCCTTGCATCAAACTTTCAACATACAATACCATACTCAAAAATAAAGAAATGAAGTAAAATTTGAACCAAGCACAGGTTGAACAAAACATACATACTGTATATGTTCGTGGAAATAGCTTAAACAGGGGCGGATCCACGATCTTTTTTAGGAGGGGGTGCACTCGTCTCTTGCTCTACTTCAACACCAATAAACCACATAGATTTTTTTTTTGCAGAATACCAGTTGTATTAGAAAACCGCAGGTCATCTCAGGGAGGGGTGCGCACCCCCTGCACCCTCCCCCTAGATCCGCCCCTGAAGTTGATAACCAAACATGCCCAACTCAGTAAAATGTTTAAGTTTCTTGGCACTCTCATTCTGGTATAAATGTTTTATTACATTGTGACATGATTTTCTTTTCTTTTGAACAGCCGCAGATCAGTGGATCCGAGCGTAGTAGAGGTGGAATTAAATTGTGGCTTTACAATCCTTACAAACGCGCAGCAGGAGAGCATCTGACGGTCTCTTTTTCCAACTCAGCAAAAACCGTTTCACAATTCAATATCACCCTAAACTTCAAGGTATTTATGAATTCTTCCTTTTCGCAATGACTGTGGCAATTTGCTCCAAAATGAAAATCAATGAAAAGTAAGCGTTCTTTCAAAAGAATAATTTACTCTTTGTGTTTTTGTAAGTTGTGTCCCGTCCAAAAATGTAAGTATTCATTTAACTATTTATTCTTTTTTTTCTAAGAATATAACTATTACCGACCGGTGAAAATTTATTATGGCGATGACAAAGACAACTGTTTTGTATTGAAATGTTTCTAGGGCTGGCGTGCAGTGTGGGTTAGTTACGATGAAGGTCTTTTGAATGGTCGAGCTAACATGAACTCCATGAAGATAACTGCTCCAACAACTTCAGAGACCACTCATCCATTGTACTTTGATCTTATTCGATTGGTCGGAAACTTAGCCAGGCAGTCACGTGATAAGGTTGTTCCAACACTCGACCCAGACCTGTACAGTCCAAATAATTTCTGGCAGCAAACGTACCGATGGAGTCAGGTTAGTTTTGTTTATTCAGTACTTCTTTTATTTAAGGTTTTTCATTTTATCATTGTATCTATCTTTCATGCAAGCAAATTCTCTGCTCGGGAAATAGAGAGAGAGCCGAGATAAAGAGCGCTAGAGGTTAGCGCAAGGCGGTTAAGTAGTTATAAACTACTTTTGCTTTTCAAAACTGTTTCTTTCCATCTTATGTGCTCTTGTAATTCGAATTTCGCGAGGGAACGAGAATGAGATATCATAATGAACACAAAAAGACTACGTAAAAAGAAAGGCCGGTCGCTAAAGAGGAGCGGCCTGTGGCTTAGCCTGGTTGCCTGTGAAGGTTTAGCGATATCTTTAACACGAAACATTTTGCATCACAAGGCAACTCCGACAGCTATAGACACTGGCACAACTCCCAGTATGGAACAAATATCTAACCTGACCTTGATCGAGAAGAGATTGGACAATTGGTTCGTGAAGCAGTCACAGGCCTCAGTTAATTTTACAGGAAACGTACAGAAACGATGGAATTCGCTTCAAGGCGACGTGAACGATGCACTCACAAAGTTTGCTTCACTGAATGTTGTCAATAATACAGATGGTATTATCACAGGTAAGATCTAAAGTAAAGCTGCAAAATATGCCCGCCAGCGAACTTATCTGAAGCAAATAATGATCCATCAAAATAAGAAAATTCCTACTAATTGAATACTTTACACTAACTATAAGAATATAACTGGTGAAGACTCTCGTAATCCACCCTGTAGGCACCCCGCTCTATTCTGACGAATCGGAATATGACGACGAAAAATTTGGTTATGTCGTGGAGAAAGTTCTTCTTCCTCTGGCGCTGGATTATCACGTGAGATCACGAACCAATGACGTGGACGCTGTAGCCTCTGCAGAGGTGACTAACCTGAATGGAGATACCAGCGTTTTTAACGCAGCTGTTAAGGTATGAAGAGTTCGGTGGAGGTACTTCCAACAGGTGACATGAAAACATGTCAACATGACATGGAGATGCTTTTAAAAGTTTGAAAAACAAACAGATAACAAAACGAAACATCAAAATGACATCATTCCGTTGAAAATCCTCTCCATTTCCGTCTCCACATATTTTTTAGCTCTTATATTAGTGATTGTGACCCTTCATTTTAACCTCAGTTCTTTCGAAAACATTTTTTTTTGTAATCTTGGTTCATCGAAGAATTGTCGGGTAATACAGTCTATATTTGAATCCTGACAACATATCAAGACATATTTATACCCATTTTAAAACGAACTCTTAGAATAGACCTATTCGGCTGACTCAATGTTGTACCCAATTCAAACCCTTTGGAGTAAAACGTTTTGTTTGAGGAGTTTCCATATCATTTAAATGTGAATGCCACATTATAATGCAAATCAATACACAAAGAATCTTAATCCCAGGAGATTTGAATTGGGTACAAATTGAGTTAACCGAATAGGTCTACGAAACACGAACAAATATGTGGTCTATAGTACTGAGACGAACCATTAGGATTGAATGTTATCAACTTATTTCAGAGGATAGCAGGCGGCAATTCAGGTGAGCAACAGACCTTTACTACCGCTTTGGGCGCAACGACGCCATATTCTGCGATGAAAGTCAAGGAAGCCATCAGTACTCTTAACGCTAAGCGGAAACAACGATTGATGCTTCTTCTTGATTACATTGAGGATCAAGGTTGGTTGGTTTGAAAATGCAAAAATGTTCCTTTCATTACAAAGTTATTTTTTGAGTGATTGCTTATGTTATGCCACTAACAAGAAGTTGTAATTTAGCACCTGGTCAGAACTACAAGATATATTGAGTTGAGTAAAATCCTATAAAATTTAGAGTTTCAGGATCTGTTATTAACGATTGAATTAATAAATGGTTCAATTTTCAAGTGTTTGACACTTTAAATAAGTAACAACATTAACATAGCAGGATGACTACGGGGAAAAGACAGTCCTACATATCGCTTTATGTATTTTCTATTATACACGAAACTCGCAAAAAAGTCTCACTGGTAACCACTACCTCTTCCAAGTGCAAGTTTAAAGGCTATGCAACATAAGAAAATGGTCTTTTCTGGGAACATGACATAATATCTGAATCATCATGCTTACTTCACACATATATAGAACACAAGCACTACCAAAACAGAACCACTAAATTCAAAACAGTTACCTGCACGATTAAAGGGTTATCTTATCCGCCACTTCACTACATAAACGTATACCCACACTTTTCCTCCTATAAAGTGTTTCATGTGTAAACATTATTTTTTTTTTACGAGCAAGGTTTTACTGAGGGCAGCGCAATTGGATCCTTGGACCACGAAATGAACAATGCAGGTGCGGGCTACATGAATTCAGTGTATTTATTGAAGGAAGTTCTGCAAGAAGCAGGAAAAAAGGAGAATTATGTCGCGACTATGAAGTGGTACAATGAGTTTGGAGAAGTATATCAAGATCCATTTGAGTACGCTGGAACAACTGCTGATCGAATGAGAACCATTTCATTTTGGCGGTAGGTTGCAAACTAGGTTTTGCCTGCCTCTCCTCTAGCACAAATCAGCACGCCAAAGCTACTAAGCTGTTTTTTATTAACTGCCTTGATGCCTTCGGCCGATATTTTTACAGGGTATTAACAATACAGTTTTTATTACCAATGAACAATCACTCACATCTTGCTGATCCAAGTACAGTAAAAGCCAGTAACTGCCCCACCCAAGGTCCATGAACTGGTGACGTATTGTCTCAGTAGAGATTCCATGTTTACTTTCTATCCACACCAGTATCCCTAATTTTTCACCAAGAAATTGAAACCTGCTTTACGTCCTGACATGGAACCAATATGGAAATTTTTTGGCCATGTTTTGGTCTACTGACCACAAACCGAATTGTGTGTAGCCTAGCCCGAGCCTAATGTCCAAAATATCTTATTCTTAGCCTCAACTCCTTCGTCTTGGGTAGATGTTAAATTACACGCATCTAATTTTTATTCTTTTTATTCACAGTTTGTTTGCTGTTCTTATGATGCCTTCCTCTACAACAGCAGAACAACAAGCAAAAATCCGCGACATGGAAGCGCTTCTTCGTTGGTACGCAAACGCTCTGTCACCTAATGAAGGATTTGCAGGTGTCCTAAAGCCTGATTTCCTTGGATTTCATCATAATAGCTACTACGCTTCTGCCTATACACCACACGCCGTGCACAAGGGAGCACTCATCCAATATCTACTCAGCGGGACGACATTTGCTTTGGGTGAGAAAAAAATATCACAAGTAGCAATATTGAGTAGCAAATGTTCGAAGCTACTGGTCTACAAGGATATTAAAACTGAATGTCAACATTGCCAGAGGCGGAGTTAGTAGTATAGGGCGGACCGGTTACACCGCTTTTTATTGCGGGAATCTCATTAACGTGCGGGGTAAACTAATATATTAACGCAAATGACGTAATAGACCAAGAAAAAACCTCTAGACGGTTATCGACTTGAAAACGACTAGGAAACCTGTCAAACGCGTTGAACCACCTTAAAATAACACTTGGTCTTCTCTTAATGAGATTGCCTTGAATTTTATTCACGAGATTAGACAAAAGGCTATGACGTTATCAGCGTTAATGTATTTACGCGAACAGCGTAACTGGTACTTCCTATAATAATGGCACGGTTTGGAATGTTATGATTAATAAACAAGCGAGTTCTAACGATACCATATAATTTCTTTTATCCAAAGTTATCTCAGAATTAAAGGTGTACTATGTTTTATTTAAAGGTGCCGAGACAATGCAAAATATAAAGAAAGGACTGGAGATCATGAGGGTCGTTTCAGTCAAGTATTCCTCACCGAACAGTGTTGGAGGCCGATTTCCAGGATTTACTCGTGCAATTCTGGCCAAAAATTTCCCTGGTTTTGCCTATTACGCTGCGATTGCTCCAAATTTCAACAGTGATGGATCCCTAGGAGAAATTGTCGCCATTGACAGTAAAAACGTCAAGCCTTTCTTGCGGCTATTTGACACAAGTACTAGTGCCTTTTAAATTCTTTAATATACTATGATGTGAAATGAATGCAATATTTCTTTATTGTGGAGTAGGTAACAGATTCTCTCTTAACGTTTCCCCATATGTTAGCATAATTTTCAACAATTTAGGATAAGCAGAGACGGTATCATTCCTTAGGTCAGAAAATCAACATTCACGAAGGTGTGTTCCCACATTAATCAAGTAAAAGCATTTCAATACAGCAGTTGGTCCTAATTTTGCCTAATATATCATTGCCAAAACTAGCTTTAAGGCTGACTCTATTAAAGAGGTGAGTGAAGCAATCCCAGTTGTATCTTTCCGCTGCAGGTGAAAGTAGTGTCAATGACTACTTGGCTGACGGAACAATTTTCACTTCAATTTATTACTTGAATTCACTTGGCTCAATAAATATCATGGAAGAAATTAAAAGCAAGGCAATGACCATGAGTATCGAAGCAGAAGCCTCTCCTAAGGGATTATGGGCACTTAATTACGGGGCCTTTGTCGTCCACCGACGATTTGATTGGGCAGTCTCTGTTAAAGGATTTAACAGCTTTGTTTGGGATTTTGAGGCATCGGGCAACCAAAACGTGTATGGAATATACCAGAGTCACGGCGCGCTTCTTGTTGCGAACAGCGAGGCGTCTCTCAAAACTCTCGACATCGACAACGGCTGGGACTGGACACGACATCCGGGTACAACCACTATCAAATTGCCGCTCGCAGACTTGGTCAGCGGAAACCGCAGGTTTTTATTTTTTTTAGTTTTCACCACCTACAATCGGGTAGTTGACAGGTCAATCACAGTTTAGATCTGATCACATGGCAACTAAAAGAGTCAAAGAGCATTTACTAAAATCAGATCTCAGAAAACTCGCAAGGAAACACTCCAGCCTTTCTTAGTCTGTGTACCACGTGACCGGCTTTATGCGTAAAACGAGTTACGCACATGACAATGCCCTTACTACACTGTAGTAGCTTATCATCGTAAGATTCTCAAAAACTGTTTACTGAAAAATTCCATAAATCAAACACGTTTTAGCCTTCCAAAAGAGTCCCTTTGACAAGTAGGATAATTTAAAAGAATTTGAGGTTAATTTGAAGACATCATTTATTTTCTGAAATCACATGAAAACCAGAAAAGGAGGGCGTTAGGCTAGCAAATAAAGGCACATGTTGCATTATGGGCCTAAAGATATTTTTTGGGTGTAAAATACAGTCAACCCACTCTCTAGGACGGACACCTTTGATGCATGCGCAAAGTGCACGTTTAAGAGTGATGTCCGTCTCAAAGAGAGACGAATAAAGGGAGTAAAGAACGGCTGGTGTTCGTTTTACCAAGTCTTATAGACGTGTCCGTTAAGAGCGACTTGACATTTCTATACGGTCAAATCAATAGTTTTACAAGGCTAACGAATACCTTCACTTGTCGTCACTTATAGATATTATCAACCTAAGAAACTTGCTGGCGGAGTTAGATTGGTAGGTAGTGGAGACTACTCTACAGGAATGTTTTCAATGGAGTTTTCTCAACCTGACTACGACTGGGATGATGGTGCCTATCAAAACAACATCGAGTTCACATTTAAGAAGAGCGTCTTCTTTGCCGATAATCTTACAATCTGTCTTGGCTCTGGTATTTCCTCTTCGGGTAGCAACTCGCACATCACTCAGGTATCATTTTTATTACAAAAGAAGCATTTCCTTTATTTCTCTACTGATTAATTAATTTATTTTCAAAGCTTCCAATGGAAACTACACAAAACAGTAGCGGTTAACGAAAAGTGTGGCCTGGACATCGTTTATCCTTCCTTGATCCTAAAGGCGACCTCGCTTGAGGGTTCTCATTTTTCATGAGAACCAGAATTCTTACTTCTTCAAAAATAATTTAATTTAAGGCTACCGAATACCTTCAGATCGGAGTATGACTTAATTACCAAAGAAAAAATTAATGAAAAAGTAGGTATTTGCGAAGCGTTTAAAAACTTTTTATGAACCAAACCTAACTCGAATTAAGGCCGAGCCAAATGATTTAGATCGGCTGAATTGATTCAGTCGCCGATCGTAATTCCAGTCGAACTAAATTCAAAAAGGAGAAAAATGCTCATTGCGGTCAAATTGCTCGCAAAATACTTTATAATAATTTATGCATTAGGTTCGGCACATGAAAAATTCGGCGTCTGAATCAAAGCCGTTCCAAAGTCGAAATTCCCAGCTGGGCTAGGCGGATAGAACGGCTGAGCCGTTCCAAATTGAGATAGGCGTTCCTAACTGATTCAAACGTCGAACTTTTCAAGTACTTAGGTTCGGCCCATGAAAAGTTCGGGGTCTAAACCAGTGGCGGATCCAGGATCCCCCTCAGTTTAAGAGCAAACTATTGAAACCCGCCCCCCCCACCCCCTTATCTTAGGGTCTGGATCACCGCCCCTCCTCCCCTTAATAGCCCATTTTACAGTTATGGGTGGAAGTGAGGCTGACCGCGTTGACCTTGTTTTGATACAAACCTTTCTACTTTATCATGTAACTCAAGTTATTCTTATTCTAACAAGTATTCTTCAAGGACAATTTCCATAACAAAGCAAAGGAGGTTTGATATCGAAACAGGGTCGCCGTCAGCCTCACATTCGTTCGAAGGCTAGGGTACTAAGTCCACGACTGTAAAATGGTCTATTAAAGATCTGGATACGCCACTGTGAACTGGACTTTATTTTTGAATGGAAAACATGCCATTAAAAAATATCGGGGATTTTTTTTATTCCCAAAATGTTTTTGTTAATTTTATCGATAAGTAAAAGAAATGTTTTTCGGCAAGTTAATGCCATAATGACATTTCGAGGCATACAAATTTCTCCTTACAGACATGAAAAGAGATTGTACAAACAGTTTTGTTTTTGTTTTTTCTTTGCTGGACAGACTTCTTTGTTTCAAGTCAAGTTGCTGGATTCAAATAATCCATCATCGATCCGCATAAATGATTCATCGCACTCTCTCAATACAGACGTAACTAGAGAACCTTCATTCTTTGACGGAACACTGCCAGCCTCTCTGTATGATGTAAATGGTAATTGTCGTGTTCATACATATTTCGTCCTGTTTAGTGCAAATAATCTGTAACGATGATGAGGGGCTGAGGAATAACGAGGAATTTTTCGTTCACAGCAAACGGATCTGATGACCACGAGACCACATTACCATTTTCTTGGCTGTTTATTGGCTTGATGTTTGTCATTACGCGAGTGAGAAATTCACTAATCTATCGTTCTCGGAATCAGTATACAGCGAACGAAGTTTCCTGTTTGCCCTAAAGCGTGCGCTGTTGGAGATAACATGACAACTTTAAATATTTTTTTGTTTTAATCATCTTATCTCTTTCAATAGTACAGTGCAGTAGACGTAAAAGTTCAATCCCATATCATCAAATTCAAATTCAAATAGCGCCGCTAACCTATCTTACAAAAACACTACGCAGCAAGGGTGCAGTGTATGATTTTTTTGTCCGACTATTGACAATCACTACTGGATGTTTCAGTTAACATACTGTCCTTTTTGTAAATAGTTTAGTTACGGTCACTGTCATCATACTGATATATCAAACACTTGTAATGACGATAATTTCATTGCTTTTGTTACATTTGTATCAGGAAATGGTTATTACATTCCTAAAGCGAATGAACAAGGACTAAATGTTAAAATCAGTCTTCAAACGTCCAGGGACAATAGAGGAAGAAAGGACACTTCAGCAAGATATGCAACAGCATGGCTTGACCATGGAGTAAATCCAACTAACAAGGGCTATGAATACGCAATTATCGTGGGTACAAAACCAAGCACTATTCAGGTAAATATGTACACATTCAACGCAAATTTGACTGCTGAGTGTTATTGTTAAGCTGGCATGTTTTTGGTGGAAAAGGCCTTTGACATATGTTGTTAGCTACAAAACAACTGCATGGCTGACAATTTTTTCTTGACAGATGCGCATTTAATTCGTACAAATATTTCTTTCCAACAAGGCTTCCTGGCAGTAAACTTTTTTATCTAATTGCGATAACTTTGTAAATCAAAAACTGAGCGCAAAATAGGAATTTTCCAAAGAAAAACTTGTCAAGGAACCAATCGCAGATCTGAAGTGAAAGGTTGGTGGCATTTGTGCTCAAAGATGGCTTGGCTTGCTTTTCTCTTTTATAGTTGTTTCCTGGACAACAAGCGGGGCAATTTGTAGCAAGTGGCTTTCCCCCGGTATACGAAGTAATTCACAAGGACAATAAAGCTCACGCAGTAAAGATCAATGACTGCCCAAGAAAAAACGACACTCAGTGGGGATATGCATTCTTTGACAAATCTGTTCGCACTCCTGGTCCTATAAGACGGGTTACTAAGGTAAATTTATAAACATTTTTTTTCGACATGGCTTATTCCGGGATGTTTGTATTGAGTACTTTAACTGTCTGAAAGGAAGGAGTGGTAAAGAACAGGGCTGACATGGGACCATAACAGCAACATTATAGTGATATTCCCCATATAGCACCTCCACAAACAAACTACACTTGCAATTCAAAAGCATTTTAACTATCTTAACTATCTAAACTACACCATTATTGAGAATGATGATTGTTTCAGAGAGTGACGCAGGTAGCTCAGAAAAAAAGCTGAGTATTCTCAACAGGAGAATAACCTAAGACTGTCTGGTGACTAGTCCAGATGCTCTACCACGGAGCTACAGGAGACTTGTGGGAGCTGAGGCCAATAAACTAGGCTCATGTGACAAACATCCTGCATATTGCGAGGACTGGAATGCCGATTATACAGGCGTTATTACAAAAAAATCGCGTTGAAAGTTGTGCGTCAATAATGGATTTTCGCATTGATTTCTATTACCTACACCAAGACTTTGAGGACACCCAACGATACACTTCTGGTTTCCAAACGTCTCCACTTTTAAGAGCGTTTCCGAAAACCCCAAATGTTTCGGTGTAGACGGAAGACCAAACGAATAAAAATGTGACCGAGTTGCTGAGGTGTATTTTTTTCCCACAGCACCCTTGTCTTGTGATGTTTGAAGAAGACGACGAAGACAACGTGTACGTTTCTGTGTCGTATCCAAATTTAAATTTCAACATCAGTGAACCTTTGACGATTGGAAGCCGTGTCAATGCTCAGCAACGGTTTTACTCTGTCAGCATGTCAGAGGATATTGAGGTAGGCATATGAAAATGAAAACCATTGTACCAGTCTGACCAGGACTAGCCTGCAGTGCTGACATTAACTCCAGCAGTGTGTTCAGGAATTACCTGCAGCGCTGACATTAAGTCTGCCAGTGTGTTCAGGAATTTCCTGCAGTGCTAACATGAACTCCAACAGGGTTTTTAGGTCTAGTCTTTAGTGGAGGAGTAATGATTGTTTGGGCATCAGGGCAGTCAGTATTTCATTCCTACAATGAGCATTTGTGATTTTCACACGCAGGGGAAGATTGGGTAAAGCAACGTTAAAACAGTAGAGTGAGTAAAAAGTGTTGGATGGAAGATAAAATCTTAAACAAAATTTCTTGGTGATTATTTACCTCGGTTTTCAGTTCATCGTCTCCAAGTCTGGCATGAATACTTAGGTTTTAAATGGGAGAATTCTAGACATTGTCAATGTTTGTATTATTCCAATTTTAATCGCATGTTGCTAGAATGGGCTTTTTCTTTTTCTGGGCATCAGAAAGCCACATTTGTTAAAGCCAAGAGCCACAAATGAATAAAACGTTTTGTCAAAAACCTTCTTTTTGAGAATCTCAAACACTTACTGGACTGGACCACGTGACTTACCGAGTGCCATCTTCTTTGAGTTCTTGCTTAGAGTAAGTTCTTTTTTTTCTATTTTACTGCAACATACAGAACATTTCTTAAACCACATCATCTTTTCTTTGGTTATTCTGTATCAGGTGTTTTTCCCAAAAGATGTCGAGGTCAGTATCGGTGATGTCAGGGTGAATGGTAAAATTGTGCCACAAGGTGAAAGAGGTAATCATGTAGAGGCCATTCCCAGAGGAATGGATCCTGCCAGGACAACATCACGTCGAATCAAATTCAAAGGTCTGTCTAAAGGATTCAGTAAAGAAGTGAAACTCAGGAGACCTTCTGCCCAAGCCAAAAAATGATTGATTTTACCAACGTGAGCTTCCGATATAACTAACAAGTAAAACAAATTTCTTTTTCCGCTTCCTTTAATTTTTAGAAAAGCTCGTGAGATTTGGAAACTTGTTATATATAGAGCGTTTTCACTCACGTGACCACCAACATGGCCGCCGTTTTATTGTTTGGAACACCAATATGGCCGCCGTGACGTCATGTGAAAACGCTCTATTTCACCATAAAAGCCACGCTTCTCTTTAATTTTCTACTGGTTAAAAATGAATGGTTGGAAAACCAAACTACTTTTACTGCACACTTGAGTTATCGGAGCTTACATGGTGTTATTTCCTTTGTTAAAAGGCGTTAAGGGTTTTAGTTTGTTGAGTGGTGACATCATGTTATCCCTTTGTAGAAGCAATGAAATAAAACTCAGTTGTACAAACTGACTTATTGTGTGTGTGAAGTCCTTGATCAAATATGATGCCATTAACAATAGAAAAAATAAGCAATATTTACTATTTGAACAACCAATTTCCTCAACTAGTAGCCCACGGCCTTTCACAAAATAAACAGATTACAAACCTTTTAAATGAGAATTTCGTAATAAGTCAACTCTATATAATGGCTCGTTCAACTGTCCCTTATTCTATCCGTCTAAACAACGTTTTTACTTTCCTTTTTGCGTTCATTTCCCACTCTTTCTTCTTCTTCACGAACCAAGGACTCTTTAAAGTTTATAGTTAGACCCACCCCGTTGTTCAAATTTAATTAACAGAGCGGAAGCTCTAAGTATTGGCAGATGTCGTAACGAAAGCAATACGCTCTAACTCAGTTATAGAGAAGCTTATTTTCTTTACATTGGGAAACTTTTAATTCGAATTAAAATTAAAGCGTATTACAAAAAATTTTACGTTTTAGTCTTTCACCATGACGATTTTTCTATGTTTTTTCTTCAAATCTGCTCAGTGAGTTTCTCGCTAGTGAGTAATATAGGAGCCGCTAATATTACGGCTCTATTACGGTATACACTTCACAAGTCAGTCCAGCACTGTACCAAAACATTTCAGAAGTCTGTTAAGACCTTGACGATAATTACTACTAAAAGTAACACAAATGATAGGGTTTAGGGCAGAGTTTATGCACATCAAAAAGTAAGCAACGTAATGGAATAATTTGAAAATACAAGACGTCACGAGACCCGATGCAAAAATCTGCATTAAATGACCAACATTGTAAGGAATCCAACAAAGTAAAAAGGCTGTCACTATTGCAACGGCCATCTTAAGCACATTCCTGTTTCTTCTTGTGCGCTGTTGTTCGGCGATTGTTGAGAGTTCACCTGGAAGAGACTGTTTCTTGAGTTTGATGAGGATGAGAGTGTAGAAGGTGACTAACAGACCAAGAGGGATGTAATGAAACACTATGTATACTGCTAGAGAATGGTTCTTTCCCAAATGATTTTCACATTGCCTTCCTCCTGGGTGTTTTAAGGCGAGTATATTTGGTGAATAAACGGCCATAGCAACGATCCAAGTGGCTGGAATAAGAAAGGAAGACACCTTNTTAGACCCACCCCGTTGTTCAAATTTAATTAACAGAGCGGAAGCTCTAAGTATTGGCAGATGTCGTAACGAAAGCAATACGCTCTAACTCAGTTATAGAGAAGCTTATTTTCTTTACATTGGGAAACTTTTAATTCGAATTAAAATTAAAGCGTATTACAAAAAATTTTACGTTTTAGTCTTTCACCATGACGATTTTTCTATGTTTTTTTTTCAAATCTGCTCGGTGAGTTTCTCGCTAGTGAGTAATATAGGAGCCGCTTAATATTACGGCTCTATTACGGTATACACTTCACAAGTCAGTCCAGCACTGTACCAAAACATTTCAGAAGTCTCTTAAGACCTTGACGATAATTACTACTAAAAGTAACACAAATAACAGGGTTTAGGGCAGAGTTTATGCACATCAAAAAGTAAGCAACGTAATGGAATAATTTGAAAATACAAGACGTCGCGAGACCCGACGCAAAAATCTGCATTAAATGACCAACATTGTAAGGAATCCAACAAAGTAAAAAGGCTGTCACTATTGCAACGGCCATCTTCAGCACATTCCTGTTTCTTCTTGTGCGCTGTTGTTCGGCGATTGTTGAGAGTTCACCTGGAAGAGACTGTTTCTTGAGTTTGATGAGGATGATAGTGTAGAAGGTGACTAACAGACCAAGAGGGATGTAATGAAACACTATGTATACAGCTAGAGAATGGTTCTTTCCCAAATGATTTTCACATTGCCTTCCTCCTGGGTGTTTTAAGGCGAGTATATTTGGTGAATAAACGGCCATAGCAACGATCCAAGTGGCTGGAATAAGAAAGGAAGACACCTTACGACTGATTAATGGAGAACGAAGAGGAAATGTCACAGCTACAAATCGATCCACTGCGATCAGAACAAGGCTCTGCATCGACACACTGAAGGAAACATATGATAACAGAAGTACAACCTTACATATAGCCTGGTCAACAGAACCACCAATAAAAAACGAATGGAACTCTGCCAGACGTGAGGAGAACAGTACTACTGGAAAGAGAAAGTCAGACATGGCCATGTTTACGATCAAATAATTTATGGGTTTTCTCAAGGTCGCTGTTTTATAAACGAGTATTGCGATCAAAGAGTTTCCAACCAGCGAAACAATGAGGATTACACTCCAAAAGACGGTTTCACCCATTTTTGCCGCTGCAGGATTATTAATAAGCGTGAAGCAGAGGCTTGATCCGTTCGTTGTTGTGTTCATGTTTGCGGCCTTCACAGACTAAAGCTCCGCTATGTTCGTAGAAGCCTAAATTGCTTTGCCTAAGAGCTACCGAATACCATGTTTACCTTCACTTTAATATTAGAGGTTGTTCAATTTAATTACTTTAAGGAACGAGTCTGTTCGTACCACCTGCAGAATCGAAAATTAAAAAGAACAAAATCGTTAATGATTTAGACTGTCAAGAACCAATCACGGCAACGGATGGAAGAAGTCTACTAAGTGTTATTTCCTACATGTACGTGTATGTAATCGGCGAGTTGTCATTATTAAACAAGACAACAAAGGGCAGCCAGAGAATAATGAATTTTATTCACAATTAATTGCGCGGAGCAATCCTTGTTTATGATTATCTTGATTCTACTTCTTGGCCAGCCGTCGGAGTTTTTCCCTCTTATTTTTGTTGCAATGTTTCTTCCAAGGCTTGTACGGCATAGCGCCGTCTTGTCCAGAGATCGCTCCCCCGAGCGGCCTGGGTCCAAGCGTAACACCACGAGAGAAGCAGCGAACGTGTTCCTTAAAAGAAAAGATAAAAGATAGCTTTTGCGAACAATAAAACTTCATGGGATTACTTTATGTTTGAACTGATCTTAAATGACAAAACAGCTCTATACATCGAAGGTAATAACGAAACAAGGCTTTATAAAAATGGAAATACCTGTTTGAAGAAATCCTTGTCAACATCATTCATCTAAAAAAAAAAAAAGAGAACGAAAGCTGGTTATTGACGCAGATGGCTGAGTAATCTTTTTTTCATTGTTAAGTTAAAGTAGTTTCAATAACTAAATAAAAAAAAGAGGATTTCTGATCGCTTGAATTTGTTCAACGAGGGCTAAAATAGTACAAATTCTGCTGATGCCGGCGAAGCCAACAATGTTGTATAGAATGTGTCACCTGTCTATGAACTTTATCTTTTTTGTTGGTTTCTTTGCCTTCAGCGTCGATAGGTTTCTGTACTTTGTATCCCATTTGTTCAAATTGTTTTTCGTCTTCTCCAGGAGGTGCAATGCAGTACAACAATTTTCCCTACAAAAACATAAAAACAGTATTTCGATCGGAATCTTGAGGGTGACTGAGAACCGTAAATGTATGTCAATGTGAAAAAAATCTCCTATAAAGAGCAAATGCATGGATTTATATGCACTGCTTGCATACAAATCTTGGCCAGAAAAGCTGACAGTTAAATTGTTCACCTTGACGTAATCTTTAAGAATATAGCGAGCCGATCTGGAGCAGTCAGGGATTCCGTGTGAAGTCATGAAACCTCTGACATCTATAAACACAATCACCCGGAACGTAAATATAAGAGTAAAGATAGTTTAACAGAAATAACAACTTAAGAGTCATGAAGATTTCAGTATTTAACAAATCTGAATATAAAAAAGACATAAAGATGCCCTAAAATAGCCATATACCGTTTTGTGCCTGGATTCAAGACGGAGAACGCTGGGTCAGTACGACCAAACCAGCAACCTCAGTTTTGAAAATAGAACTGCAGATCAAACCAGAAATGTTGCTCAAGTATAGAAGTTCAAACTGAAACTGAACTGCAGCTGAACCAAAATTTCCAAGTAACGTATTATTTGTTTACTTTCAAGCTTCCTGTTCCATAGTAATACCAAACAACTGACTTACGCCCGTATGCCGAGAGTAGTTCGTCTGCAAATGGTGCCCTGTTGCTGTCATCTTCTTCTTGTGGTGGCGGAATAGTTATACCATAAACCACTTCAAGTACAGCGCGAGGAATTCTTTGACAGAGGTGAATATAGTTAAGGAAGTAGATACTTTCTTAAAAGAATTAATGTCCTAGCTAAGAACTGTTACAACATTGATCAGGGGCACTCAACGAGAATATAGTTCAAAAGCACTTAAACATAGCATTGTTAAACGTATTTTCGTATTCAAACGGTAGATAAAGGCATATTTTTATCCCCTAAAAATTTTTCATCTGTTCGGATTTCCTAGCTGAAAGTCTAGTGATCCGAAAATTATAGGGATCAAAACTTACCTTGTCGAAAATTTCAGCCAGAAAAAAGGCTCCCGAAAATTCTAGGTGACCTTTTTAGGGTAAAAATCCGTTAAAAATATGCAATTATACCATTTTTAAGATGTTCGAAAATCCTAGGAGAGGCAGGCAAGCAAGAAATTTTACAACAAATGTTCCGAAAATTCTAGATCTCAAATCGTCTTCCGAACAGATATTTTTCCGAAAATTGTCGTTGGGTGCCTCCGATTGATAACTTTCAAATTATAATGCCTCAACGCTCTAACAGTTTCAACGGACAAAACGCCAGCAAAAGGAAAAGAAAACTAAGTTACAAGTGCTGAGGCATGACATCTCCTCAGAGTCAGCTCCTACAGTAAATTAGACAAAAGAATAACTAGGCATGCGTTTTCGGGTCATGTGACGCAAAAGAGGCTCCGTAGGTATTTCTTATTTGCTTTGCTTCGCACAAGAAATGGAAGACATGTGCTTGCACAGCAGGACGAGTGACAAGCCTATGGAAGATATTCACTTTTGACAATATAGTTTCAAGACGAAAAAGATATAAGAGAAACTGGAGGAATATGATCTCTCATCTGGTCGATTGGTAAAATGCCATTCAGGATCATGTCTGCTTTTGTAGAGACAAATGAAGGAAAAACCAGGCCTGGGCAGTCACCCAGGAGGACCTCATCATTAACATACAGAGTCTGAAATAAAACATAATCACTTCCTTAATAGAACAACATGCACTCAAAATTTAAATTACAAACTCTAAACTCAGTAGTGGCAGGATGAGGCAACATATTTTGAGGGAGGTACGAAGAAGGAGGAATGTAGTGTTTCATGGAAGCAGCTTTACACTTCTGTGAAATTTGTAAGCCCAGACTTCTGTTATGTTATCCTCATGACTTGTTGGTTCACAGCCTTACACAATGTATAGTAAGTTATTATGTTATAACATATAACAAAATTTTGGCTGGTCCATGTACTTGTCTTGACCAGTTGATCCCTTGATAGCCTGTGTAGCCTGCAGTGCATGAAATTAACACGGGCACAAGAAGATGGGAGACAAGTGTGCACATCATTCTTACTTTCATCATCCTTATTCATTTCAAAAGTATCACGCACCTGAAAGTGTTTTGTTCGTCCTGGAGTAGCTGATACAGGAACTTTCTTGTCATTCAAAAGTGTGTTGATTGATGAACTTTTCCCAACATTTGGATACCCAACCTGAAGGCATCCCAGTTCAAAAAATAAGCTTATTAGTAACAAAAATGCTACTTTCAAGCAACTGGACTAACAATTTTAACCTTGGATGAGATTGAATTCTTAAAGTAGGTGTGCCTTGAGATGTTTTGCCATGGTAAGTAAAAACATTTTTGTTAAAGGTAACCTGTTGTTTGTTGCACCTTGTAACACCATGGCTACTGACTGTCAAATAACATTAAAATTGAACAGAAAAATGATTTCTTTGATTTCTTTCTTTTCTTTTCTCTTGAATAGTATTTTTGGTCATTCAACATTCACAAAACAAGATATCATACAAAGACAAAGAACATATGATCTTGTCCTACTGATTCAGCCTGGTACAATACAAACCATGGCAGGAAAATTACAATGATAAAAAATTATTATTTTAGTTGATTGCAAAGTACTTACCAACCCAACAGTGGTAAGAACTGTAGTCTGTGTATGTTGACCTGACTCCTCTAATTTACTCATGTGAAGCATTTTAAACACTGCAAGTAACTCATCCCTTGTCAATAGTTGCCCTGTCGCATTTTTCTCATCAATGTTATCTGAGTTGCCAGGTCCAGAATCCTGTGATTCATCTTCTGAATCACTAACTTGTGACTTTTCTTCATTTCCAACAGCCTCAATACAAATGTTTTCTGAGGGAGGAGAAACGTCTTTAACAGTTGAAGATAAAATGTCACATTTTGTCCTTGTGTCTTTAGATTGTTCATTTTCCTTAATACATGTGTCACTTCCAGTGTCCTGTTCACAAGAGTCAGAACCCCGTGCACCATCACTACATCCAGTAGACAGATTTTCAGTACATTTAAAACCATGTGACTGTAAGTCTACTGAACCTTTTGTTGTCTCATCATGTATGTTATGATTCTCAAGTGACCCTTGTTCCTCTTCATTTAAATGTAAAAGTTTCTCCTCATTCTCAACAGACATTTCAGCAAGTCTTGACCACAGTGATGTTTTCTGGAGATCACTTTCTGCTTCTTCTTCTCTTTCTTCTTCTTCTTTCTCTTTCTCTTCAAGGATTTTATCACCATCTGCTGCTCTTAACTGAGAATACAAGTCTATATTAATAAAAGGTTATTTCTTCCTTGGAAATAGAATCTTCCACACCTTTTTTACCTTTTGAAAATGACTGTGAGCTAGCAAAAAGCAATAAAAACAACGGAAAAGAGTGCCTGAAAATCACAAGTAATTTTAGGGCATTAATTCTGAGTTTTGCCTACTAGGCCATGTCAAAAGTTGTAAAAAACTGTGGAAGGGTCTTTAGTATTTCTTGTTGGAAAACAGGAAAGGAACTGAACAACCTCAAGTGATGAAAGAAAAAACCACTGACAATCTGACTTTGTTTTTTCATGTTTATTGGAAGAGAGCCTATCACATGACCCACACATAGCTGGCTAAAAGTGATGGTCTACTCATGTATAATACCATCTACAGCTGTTTTGCTGCACATCAATTCTGCTCATGTGTAGTTTTATCCTTGTTCTTTTGGTGAAAACTGGCAGATCAAAAAACATTGAGAATATTGGAGGGAATTAAAGCACTTTTGGTCACAGTTTTCAGTTACATCCTTAAATATTTTATTACACCCATCATTCTCCTACCTTCATCAATCGATCATTTTCTTGCTGTGCAGACCAGAAAGCTACCGGTAACCCAATACTTTTGAAATATCTTGCCCATGAACATCTACAAACAATATATAAATAATTAAGTGATAAAATCATATACAGGTAACATAAAGAGAAGTTAAGAAGAATTTTATTATCACCTTTGTTCTGGAGACAAAAAATCAGCTTTGTTTATGAGTAAAAGATTGCACTTGTTTGGATCAACTTCAATTACATAGTTTTCCTATCAAAATAATAACAGTGGAAAGATAATGAGTACATAATTTAAATACATGCCATTATGATAAAGTTTACTGATTTAAAATGTGTAGTGTTTTGGTTCAGTTGTATCCTTGATGTTACAGAAAATTAAATGAGGGATAAAGCTGAAACACGAGTGAGAGGTAATGAAAAACAACTTTATTCTCAAAAATTGATATCAAATTAAAAAAAATGGAAGTGTTAAAAAATCTTTGCTCATTTTGAGGCATGTTAACCTTAACAAACCAACAAAAATGTGGTTAGACAGGAGTAAACAATTATTCTATGCTATGTGTTCTAGCAAAATTTTCGGAAAAATAAACATTGAAAGTTAGTTTCATTCTTACCAGATCTTCACACCTATACAAGAGGGGGTTTCTTGCATCCACAATCTGGACAATTACATCACTAAAAGAAATTAAGCAAACCACAGTGTCATGCAAATGGACAAATTCAGTTGGAAGCTAAGGATAAACAAGTACATCAGACATCTTTTAATTATTGCACCTTCGCTCTATCACTCTCCAAAGCTGTCTCCAAAAATCAAGATTACGTTCAAATGGTGTAAGAATGATATGTTCTTTTTCTTGCAACCTAAAAATAATAAGTAAAGTAATTAATTTTAATATAAACCATAACATTTGGGCAACATGGCCAAGAGCTTCAGACTTCTACATGAACACAATCACCAAAGCTCTTACTCTGCAAGTTGCCTTCTCCAGTCAAGAAAACTTTCCCTTTCTTGTTGATCTAACTCCTCCGCAGTCATGTCCTTATCCCATTCAGGTCTGCAAGTAGAGAAATATAAAGAAATTACAACCTTTCATACAGTTCAATCAATGACTGTCTCAAGGTTTGAACGATTGCAAGATAAATATTATTATGAAATGTTTAATATTGTTTTCTTAAAAAAGGTCAGTAATAGAAACAAACCTGCGAGGAATCCTAAGGAAATGTTGATTCTCTTGCTGAGCTTGCTTGATTGCTGCAGCTGTTTCCCTACTCACAAGCCCGTCATTGTGCCTCTCAGTTATTATTGTTGTGTTAAGTTTTTCTGCAAGCAAAGTTATGATACCAGTTATATGTAGAGAAACATCAGTGGTATAGATTTATGAGTATGAGCTATATAAATATGCACTCCTGTGAAGGGTTCAAGTTGGGTTTTCAAGCAGATAAGTCGAGGAAGGGATAAAAAATCAAAGAGTTTTAATCAAGAATAACGCATTACTTATTTAATCAGCTGTACAAGTATGAAGACTGGAGTCCCTGATTTATATCAAGTCAGTCTGGGATAGGGTCAGGATTCTTTGTACTTAGTACAGTAGAACCTCGATATAACTGTGGTGTATGACATCATACCACATTAGCGTGCAAAGAAAGTTGTGTCCAATAGCCTGGGGCTAGTGGATTTTGCTATCGGGCTAGAGATGTCTGTTCTTAACTTGCCCGACGGACAAGTGGTGTTTTTTGGGGAAATTCAAGTAACAGAAGGTTTGTAATCAATCCTGTTAATCAAAAAGGGTTTTGGGGCTAGTTGAAATTACTTGTGGGCTAGTACATGCTAGCTACAGCTTTCCCGAATGGCAGGCTGTAAAACAGACTTTCTTTGCACCCTGCACATGCACTTGCATCACACTCTTGCACTGGCGGTCACATGCTTTTGTGTATTTTGTTGGCAGAATATAAAAGGTCTGTTGAATTTCTGAAGCTTGATCTATTCTTACGCCTTACGGAACAACGCAATACGTTGCATGTACAATAACAAAGCCCTCAGTATAAAAGAACCTTTTCTTTAACCCCAGCAATAACAAAATATATGATTTAACGAAACCTCATTAGATCGAACAAAATATTCCACTCCCTTGGCCCTTTATTATATTGAGGCTTCAGTGTAGAGAGTGTAGCGCACCAAAATTGCAGACACACAGTCCCACCAAAAAATCCATCCCCCCTCCCCCCCCCCCCCCCCCCCCCCCCCCCCCCAATAACGGGGGCCGGAGTACAAGAGTACAAATAACTCTTACCTGCTGCAAACTCTGTGCCAGCCAATTCAGCTGTTGCTAAAAAATCATCCAAATCAGTTTGTTCTGTTATGGATTGAACACTGGGTCCTGGACCGTTATCCAACTCACTGCAATGCAGCTAAAACAGAATGACGTCAACTTTGATAATCAAAAACATTTCGTAATTTTTAAGCTTTGTCATGATCATTCTTTGTAAGTACTTGGAAGTATGTTCCTCAGATAACCTCATTTTAGGATAAAACCAAACGAACTATAGCTCATTAAATTTGGCTTACTCGTTCGATCTTTGAAGTCTCGATTTTACGAACCATAATTTTTCATTTCCCATAGACGGAATATAAGCTGAGCTTAATAAGGCCATGAGGTGGACTCTAAAATCGTGACTCTATGACTTACCCAGTTGTTGGCATGCTTAATATTTCCACTGCTCTTTGTTCTTTGTTTTATGATACTTTTTCCTAATCCTTGACTGTTCTTTTTACCCATTATTAAATTAAATTTACCAACTAGCTAGTAAGAAATTGAGAAATCATACACGAGAACACTGAACAATCCATAAAACCGCTGTGTGTTCTTTTTGGCCTTTGTATATGGCAAATGTAGTGTCCACGGTCACGGCTCAGTGAAAGAACGTCAGCGAGTTAGCAAGTGAGCTGTCGCCGGGAAACCATTAAACAAAGGAATGTGAGTAAGGAATGTACGTGGAAAAGAAACAAGAATCAAAGATGGAGGAAGAATTGACGAAGAAGGAAGGAATATGGACGAAGTTGTGGAAGTTTCGACCGATCTTTTACGCCGTGATAACTCGAGTAATGTTCTTTATTCACGGATTCATGTCTGTATGGCTTCTTGCTCACTGTTTCAAGAACCCCATGTACTGGGTAACCATTGCTGGCGTTGTGCTGTTGTTTTTCGAGATGATGTATACGCTTCTCGCTCGAAAAGGACAAGAATATAAATAGTAAGTAACGTTGTGTTATCATTTTTTTTCTTGTACATGCCTACAGTCTGAAGTCTGCGTGGAAGAATAATGGCGGCTGACCGCGGTGTTATTACAGTCGTCTGCAATAAATTGACATGACATGCTTTGCTTGCATGCTTTGGCAACCTGAACAGTGTTCCCCTGTACCCTCCTTTAGATAGTCCCCTACTAAAATAAATGTTGTCTCGGGATTCCTACTCGAGAAATTATATGTTGATATTTGTGTAGAAATTATAGTTCAGTGGCCTCAAAAAAGTTCTATGGGTAGTTAATAGTCCCTTCTCATGTAATACATGTAGTTTGTTATATCAATGTCACTTTGATTGTTCTTTTTTTTCCAGTTTCTGGCCCAGCTGTTTTTTCTACATGTCCACAATGATTCCAATTATCTGGGTTGCAGAATTAGAATTTCTAAATGAACGTATTCAAGCAGCCAATGGACAAAATGACACATCCTCAACTCGCAAGAGTCCTATCCCTGGGGTAGGTAGTTTTCATAATAAACTTGAACATTAAGTTATTGCTTCATTGCTTAATAAGCAGTGGGAGGTGCGCTGGCCTGGGGGATCGCTCCAGAGGTCAGGGTTTCTCTGGTCTCCAAAAAATTTTTTTCAGCCCTTCAGGCCTCACTTTGGTCTAATAATAAGGGGAGGGGGGGGCAGGTGCCCCAGGCCACCCCTGGATCCGCTACTGGTCAGGTTCGTAATGTTGTGTTCTTGGGCAAGACACTTTAGGCCCATTTAAAATGTCGTGCTACTGCTGTGCTGAACTCAATAGATCGAATTAAATTCGACTTTAGCACTACAGTAGCGCGACATTGGAAACCAAGTCGTGCTACTGCTGTGTAGCATGGCAAGCCTTGCCATGCTACACGGCAGTAGCTCGACTTGGTTTCAAATGTCGTGCTACCGCCGTGCCGAACTCAATTCCTAAATTATAAATACATTAGAAAATATTTTAAAGTTTGCTAAACTGTTTCTTTATTTTTGTGTTTTGTTCTTGGCAACAGCCGTTCCATTTGACTGTCATTGTGTGAATTAAATTCAACGTCTGAAACCAAGTTGTGCTAGTGTCATGCTGCAGTCGAGCTACTGTCGAGCCAGCTAAGCACGGCAGTAGCATGTCAATAGGAACAGAAACAGGCCTTACTCTCTCACAGTGCGTTGCTGTACCCAGTTATGTAAAAGGGAACCCCGAATTTAATGCTGGTGGTAACCCTGCAATAGCCTGTGCCAGGCTCTCAGATAGTATAGTGGGAACGTATTAAAATGAGCAAAGCGAAAATAAGACTCGCACGACTTGGGAAAGGGGGCGGTGGCAGGGGGATCTTCACGTTTTTCGCATTTCTTTTTTCTGAACGACTTTCCACCACTATCTCCGAGCCTGGAACAGGCTAACCCTGCAATGGTCTGTTATCCTGTCCAAGGGAGGAATATAACATTAATATTCTTAGTCGCTTAGAACTACAGAAACTGGGTTAAACTCTGACCTGATGAGGCACTTGGCTTGTATGCAGACTTTTTACCTACTTTCACCTCAATTAACACTAATGGGCAGCAAAAAGGGTCGGTTGCTTTTTCCCCTCAACAGAAGTGAATGAAGAAAGATTCTTCAAATTTTGCTGATCGTCAAGCATTGTCATCTCTCTTTGTGCCACATTTTCAATACAGTTGCTATATTTACTCAAACCAGCTGCCTACATATACTGTACTTTTTTTTTTTCCAACCTGTTCCTTTTGAAGTGTCTTGTTTTCGGAAATAACTTTTTTCTTTTTTTAAATTTACTTTCAGTGTTTTGGAAATATAAGCACACAGACTTTGGCAAGACAGGTGTGTGAGTTGGGTTTGATTATTGGTATGATCATAGGCCGATGGCTGTTACCCAGAGGAGAGATAACCCGTGACCAGCTGTCTGCACTTTTGTTGGGCTATGTTGGTACAGCAGCCGACACCTTAGAGCTATTTGAAGTTCTAGATGAACAAGCTGTGAGCACAGATCAGCAAGTAAACCATGCTGTATTAGGTGTGTATACCTGGAGCTTGCTGCAGTTCTGTCTTGTCACAACAGCTACCACTGGAAAAAACAACCAAATACGCATCACAAACAACAAGGTGGGTATCATACTTTTGTTAGTTTTTCTTAGACCCAAATGTGGTGTTGCAAATAGTGAAAGTAAAAAATAAATATGAAAAATGCTAGAATTTTGATAGAGAAAGATTGGTGTAGGATTAGGAACTCTTTTCCTGGAAAGACCTAGGTCTCTGTGCATTCATGTTTGACGCCCCTCGACCATATTTAAATGGCATTTACTGGCAGGATTTTTTGCAAAAATGCTTCAAATGTGATGTTTTTGCTTGTGATGCACGTATTTGCAAACATGGTGCAGCAGTCAAGGGGTCAAACTGGCAAGCAGGGGACCCAGGATCAAAACATTTGACCTGTAGCAGCAGCTCTCTTCTGTCATAATTAATCTTTTTGTTACCAAATGATTGGATTTATAACTCTCAATGTTACTACAAAGAAGGAAGGTATAATGTTAAGAGCATTGTTTTTTTTCCTTCCAGGTGAACCCTGATGATGTAATAAATCGTAAGATTAGTCTGCATAAGTATGGGAAACAAGAAGACCTCAAAGAGAGATACATTCAGAGATTACAAATGAAAAGGAGACAGACAGAGATGAATATGATGCGTGGAAAAGGGTTTAAAGGAGTTAAAGAGAAGAAGATCAACCCAATTACTACTGCTCGTGGGGAGGTGAAGGAGATTTCTCGTCGAGAAATGTTGCTTCATGGAGATATATTTGGAATCCTGACTGGTATCTTTATGCAGGATGGTCCATTTCTCATTCTACGACTACTGCTTATCATAAAGTACCAAGTGTACAGTGAGATGCACATTTTCTTTACTTGTAAGAATGCCATTGCTTTAAGCCTCCTTGTATATAGACTGTGTATTCTTACATGCAGTGGTGAAGATGAGGAAGATGTAGAGCACCAGCAGCAGGAGTCAAGATTGCAGAATGTTCAACAAGCTGTGTTAAGTGAGAACTTCCAAAAGGCTGGTGCAATTCAGCTAGCAGGATAGATAAATAGTTAACTTCCATTGACTTTATGTGCCACTGACTCCTGAATTTACATCTAAACCTGACATTTTTCCACAGCTGCTAGAGGTTGATGTCCTCTATGCTAGGTATTTTTAGGCAAGGTCAAAAATGTCTCTTTTCAAAGGGATCTCACTTAAAAACTTTCCAAGTTAACTGCAGTGGCCATTTAGAGAGATGTCTTAAGTACTTGAGGGTACATGTAATATATATTGTATTAGTTACGTGAGCACTGACTTGTTTGGTGGAAAACAGAACAGGAAAATGTCAAACTAACCCTAATCCAAATCTCCAGTTAATTTTTCCAACCTCCTCCCTCCCACCAACTTCAAAATCTTAGTGACAGTCCAGTCAGTAAATTGAATAGTAATTCTCATCATATTTCAGTCATGATTCAATCAATCACTAAATCTACATACACTTCTATAAGATTTCTCAAATCTAGTTACAACTGTCATTTTAAACTCCTACTTTTATTAAATAACTTGTCTTTTTGTTGCCACGGTGCAGTGTAGTGTTGATGTACATATATAACATGTTAAAACCTAAAAAAAGGAGATTACAAACCTGCATTTTACAATGACACCCTTCTGGTCACAACATGCACATTAATAAATTAATTATTACTTATATAATCTTTTTACATGTTGAACTATATGGATGAAATTTTCCTATGGACACTCTGTAAACTTCTTGTCTTCAATGTCAAAAAAACATTATTTCATTGTCAGAACACAACCCAAAATGGGTTACAAATGCAAAGAACAGGATTGTCAAAAAATCAAGAATGTATCACACTGCCATGTTGCAAATTAACTTTGTAGGTACTTAACTTGTAAGACTTTATTTACACACAACATCACCTTGGTCATATCAAATAAACTCACTTGCCAAAACAGACCTTTAAACCAATACCAATGTACATACTTTAACCTGAGATCAGGTCCAATTTTAGCAGTTGATGTACCTATTTTTATTTACCAAGTGAAACGAAAATTGAGCCTTATTTCAGGTTATACATACTTTTGCAATATTTTTGTATATAGTAACAATATTATTTTATTCTTGTCATTTATTATTTTTTCAATAAAATGTTGAAAAGAACTCTTATGAAGTGTACTATTACTGAGTGTTCACCAATTTGGAGAGGCTAAATCGCTATGTGACTATAAACAGTGTGCATTCATTAATGGGATCTTTGTAGAGCATGGTGTAGATGAACTTCATTCCCCTGTTTCTTGGTGTTGTGGAAACCATTGTTGGTTTGCTTTAGTGTTGTGGTTTGGGTATTGTTTTGCCTCTTTTCAATCTTTAGCATCACATCATTAGGTGATTGCACCTGTCTGCAACACCAAGAAAAAAAGCATTTTTTAAGGGGGGATAACTACACAAGGGAGGTAAATCAAGTGAGCAGTGAGAATCACCAGAAGGCTGTGGGTATTTTGATTGTTCCATGGGAGTTTTGCGGATGCACTGAGATACCAATGGCTGGAAAGAACAGCTGCTGGCTGTCAAGCCCAATTTTATCTGGCAACATATTCTGTTTCAGCTTGTCTTTGGTTTTCTTTTATCAGCATTTTTTCTAAATCCTTTCTTTGTTTTAGGAACCCTGAATTTCTTTTTCTTTTTCTTTTCTTTGGTAGTTTGTTTGCTGTTGCTATTTTCTGTGTCTTGTTTTGGTTCAGAAGTTTCATTCACATTTTCTTTTTGACCAGTGGTCTCTGCAAAAGTAAACAGAGAAAATATCATGAGACAGGGCAATATTTAATATGAATAAAAAATTGTTAACATGTTTTATTTAATATCTCAGCTCTTTAATACATTAATTTTACTTTCATATATTGATACATTATAAGGGATGGAACTTTTGAAACACTGGTGTCAAAGCAGGTTAATTGATGTAGGGAGACAATAAAAGAGACCATCCATGAGAAAATGAAGGTGAAGTTGGCAGCAGTGTGCAACTGATAACCTACTGTTATTCTAGCAAGAGTTAAGTCACTTTTTTAAAAAACCCATAAAGTACATATGTAAATGTTATGGCATTTGTAGAAGACTGCTATATTTTGTGCCCTGTTGTTTTGATAACCAGGAAGTACGTCCAGATTCCTACCTTCAGTTGCAATTTTGTTGGAGTATTTTTTCAACTTGGCAACAAAGAAGCCATCCATATTGTGAGTGTGAGCAAAAAATCTCCTTGTCAGTTTAAGAGAAGGATGAAAATGTCTCCCTCTAAACCTGAAAAAAGTAATTTTATCATAAGAATAATAAACAAATGATAGGATGATTGAGCAGAAAAACAACTGAAAAAATTATCCCATTGTTAGTAAGTAGATGAAAAGATGACAGAGCAGAGAAATACCTGACCTGTATAAATTATCCCTTTGTTAGTTCCTTTTTATTTCTCAGGAAATAACCAAGAATTAATTTGTTTTAAGTTGCTGTTAAGTTTATAGAAATGAGGAAAAGAATGGCCACATAGGGCTCAGCAGTATCACTGAAAGATCCTTTCCTTTCAATTAATTGAATAATCGTTGTTGTAATGAGTATAATGAGACTAACAAGATAATTTAATATTTTTGTTGAAAGACTAACCTATTTTCCAATAATATTATATAATAATAATTAGCTTTACTAGTGCCAGAATGTTGCATATTTTATTATTTTTTCTTACTTGGTGAATCCTTCTTTACCAAAGTCGAGCCCAGTTGATACCAGCTTGACATGTCTTTTACTGAGGGCATAATCGATTACCCATTCATTTTCTTCTACCTGTTGAATATCAACAAACAGAGTAACATTAATGTAATTAAAGTGCCCATTGGCTGTGAGTGTTTGTTGATGCTACAGCTCTTTTACCAGGAAGGACCAGTAGCTTGGTTCTGTTCACCAGTGTGTGGATTATGAACCTCTTGTGTACAGTGTGTATATATATTACTGTACAATTCCTGTTGATGAGGCTCCTGCAAAAAGTGCAAGAGCCTCAAGGTGCCATCCAATTAATAAGCCTTTAATAATGTTATTGCAATTTTTAGTCTTTCACTTAAAATTAATATAACAACTACACTACAACTATTGCTAATGACTTGCATCATATTCTACACAGTATAAAACAAAACAAAAGATAAATGGCTTACAAGAACTGAGCAGGTAGAATATACAATATAACCACCAGTGGATGACTTAGCATCTGTAGCATCAATTGCTGCTAATAAAAGTTCTTTTTGGATATGAGAACATCGCTGGATATCTTTTTCTGTCTGCAATACGTAAGCAAAACAATTAAGCAAGCAAATTAAAGAGGGGAAAGGTGGTAAAAAAAACACACATTACTTGGGAACTGAAGTGACATTAAAATTAAACAGCAAATAATTTTTTAACAATATGTCTCCTGATAGTAGTGTTCACTTTGCTATTGATCGTGACATTTCAACCACCTACTGCTGGTCGTCTTCATCAGGTGATGATATTGATTTATTAAATGGGACTTAGTATGGGTAGCACTATGGTTGACAGTGAATGGTGCATCATGAATCTCACTAACGGTTGGTGGGTTTTGCCTCAATGCATTAGCCAACATCTGACTCATGTTAGCTAGGCAGCTGTTATTAAGACTATATAAAAATAGGAAAGAAAAATCTGTTCCATGTATGCAATTGAATGTAAATCAGTACAATATTAATAATTATCTAAAACTGTCATAAAGAGAAGGGTGAGATATTGTTATAATAATACCTTGTTGATTTTGACAGACTGATCTTTTGATATGACTCCTGTGCCACTACATGGAGCATCCAGCAGAACACGATCAAAACCTGCCATCACCTTTAACATAAAGATCACCGAAAAAGTTATATAAACTATGAGTCATTAAGGCACTGACTACCAGTGTAACCTATACAACAGATGTCTCTGAGAACCTGACTGGAAGATGATAGAACTTTGAAAGTACATAATGTAAGAACAACAATGGAATGCTGGTAGACATATTAAGCAAATACCTTGGGGAATGCTCTACCATCATAATTGCAGACCAAAGTGTTGCTTATTCCTTTAAAAATGAGAGAAAATAGAACACCATAGTTTAAGTATATCATATCAAGTTTAATAAGTTATGAAGTGAGAAAGGTACTGATAATAGGGAGCTTAAGCAACAACGGATGGCAACGGCTACAAAAATGTCACAAAAAAATGAATGCTCCCTACTTTAAACTTTATGACATTATTTACTTTTATTCCATCTTGTTTAATTTCTCAAATTTTGGAAAACTTTTTTGGAGTTGAATTCTACAGGACTGTATCAAAGTTCAGGAAAATAATAGGAAGTTGTTTTCTACTGTTACCATACTCAACAAAACAAGAAATTAGGCACTTTTACAGCATAATCCTGCAACAAGGTCAAAGAAATGTACAAAAAAGCATGATGTACGTGCAGAGAGCTCTGTTGTTTTGCTAATCTAAACCTATTGCTTTTCTTGTTGCTATCCCTGTTGTCATTGCTTAAGCTCCCGAATGTCACCAGAATGGGTCAATGGGCCCAGTAATCAGGTTTCACTGTACTTAATGGGTCTGTTCTATCACTGGGGAGAAAAGAGAGTTTTCAATTCTCATCAACTCACCTAATCTGTGGATATTGGCCACCAAAGCTTTTGTTCTCTCCCTTTTGGCATCATTAGCTACCACCAAACCGGTGTTCTTCAGGAGTGAAGCTACAGAAGGGCAATGTTAAAACAACTGTAACTTAACATGTTTCGGAATTGAAAACAGCACAGTAAACAAATTTTGCAGTCATATGGTGGTAAAAGACAATAGAAAGATTGTGAGTCATGTAACAAAAACAGAAAGCATGTCTCAGGTGTACATGTCAATAGTACAGGTGTAGGCACTCTAGTGATCTGAAATTTAATGATGAAAGGGGTGAAAATTTCATAATCCTCTATCCACTATTAATACTAACAACTTAACTACAAACCAAGAGTAAGTTCCAATCAACAGATCTGATTATATACTTACCAATGTAGGTTGTTTTTCCTCCAGGAGCTGCACACATGTCCAGAATGCGTTCTTTCTCCTGAGGTGCTAAGGCCATCACAGGGAGCATGGAGGAAGCTCCCTGTAACATGTACTGTCCAGCTAAGTATTCTGGGGTTGCTCCTAAAATCAGGAAAAAAGGTTAATTACATTATTAATTATATGCCTCTGAAAACCATTTGAACCTATTTTCTTTACCAAAATGATTTTAAAAATGTTCTGTTTTGAATAAATATGGTAATTTGAAGTTGTCACGTACATAAATAATAAAAACTGCAGGCAGTTTTTGGGCATTTCAGACATTAACTATAAAATTGGTTTGTGAAAATACGTTGAAATAACTACCAACAATAATTTGACAGCATTATAATTATCTATTAGCAAATTTAGAAAATTAAATGAAAATGCTGTCATTAAAATTTAATACATGACATCCATTAGTTTCAGAGGAGATCACTTTGTTTGAATTAGGGTGATGAACACTCAGACCCTGATCATGATGGTCTAATGAAAATGTCACTAGATGTACCGGTACATCAGATTAATTTGTAATTTATCAGTCATTGGACATATAACCTGAACACATTTTAACACATCACAGACAGTGTACAAAGCTTACCAATAGGCACTGAAGAGTCATACACAACCAGTCCGACTTTGGACCATTTGCCAATTGGATCTAAATTGACTCCACGGTTGATGAGAGCCTGTAGAAAGGGGGTAACAATGAATCAGTGAATTCATAGGTTTAAGCCATTGTTAAATGAGAGAAGCACTGCATTACTATTATTACACCCTCCCCCTTTTTAAAAAAATTAAAAAGTCAAAAATAAACATTGATGGTGTACCTGGGCAAGATCTCTTCTCCTTGTCTTTAAAGTGTTTGTTCTTATTGTTACTGGTCTTTGCACTTCATTTGCCTCAAGAAATTCTAGAAGCTATAAGAAATCAAAAGATGTAATTACATTTATATAGAAAGATACACAATAACAAATGTTGAAAAAACAGATTTTACTTAATTATTTGAATTATGAATATTAAAACTAAAAAAATTCCTATAAATTAATTTGTCTTTGTAAATAATTTTAATTTCATTTTTGCTCAGTCTCTCTTGCTGTTTTACCTCATTCAAGGGAAATAGCTCCACAAATTTTTCCATAAGAAATTTTCCATAACTATAATATGTACAAAGGTCATTGAGAAGCAGTTCAATGTATTCCTGTCTGGACCTGCAATTAAACAAAGAGTACATGTGTACTAACCCTTTAAACCCTAATATCAAAATTCAAACTGTCAGTTGTTATCCCAGTCATTCTCAATAGACGTAGTGGGAGAATTTGTCAAAGTATCAATTAGCTTGTGTGATCATGTCCTCAATTCTCATGACCACTGTGTTTTAGAAAGCAGTGATATTACAAGGAGAAATTTGACACTGATCAGGGCTTAAAAGGTTAATGATATTTCATTCTTGAATCAAAATTGCTGACAGATGGTGTCCCTGACCACAGTAAATACATGTAAGAACAATGACTAGTCAAACTTCTGAAGAAACAACTTCTAGTTATCTTAAGTCACCAATAATGTATCATCATCAAATATGACAATTTCCCACTTGTCAAAGTGAGTATTATGACTGCATTGATTTGAGATCAATGACACTACCTAAAAAAGATGCCTCATGATTCGTTTATATTACCTTCCCTCCTCACGAGCACTGTTGAAGTTACTGAGGGCCTGTAGGTTGTCTCTGATTCTCTGATTGATCAGTGCTAAATCAGCATGCTCATTTACTGTGGAGGAATCATGACAACTCAGGCTATAGTTGTTTCAAGGAAGCTTGAAAAAGTTACTGCTGTGTACAGGTAGTGGGTTACACCTGTGACCAAAGACTCAATATTTGCCTGGGTCCATGAAGACCACAAATTGTTTGCAAATGAGAGTGATGAGTCCCTTTCTTTTAGCTATATTTGTTATATTATTTATAAAGGTTACATAACAAAGTTGAACCTCTACCCAAGCAGTTATTGGTAAGGAAACCTCTATGATATGGACCAGACACCCCTGCATCACAAATTATAAACAGTACAAGTAATAAAAAAAATGAATAAACACACATAATTAGTAACCTCTGTTAAGTGGACAAGGCTCTTTCCCTTTATTGTTCATACTTTCACATTGTGGTCTGTACAAACACATGTATCCTACAGCTGGGGCTTTGTGCTTGTTGCTCTTTTCAAACTTTCCTAATTAAATGTTGCACATAATATTGCAGTAATATTCAACAAGAGTATACTCTCAATGTACCTTCTTTCTCAATTTCTTGACCACTTGGAAGCACAAACACTTCTGTTTCAGAAATGTTAGTTTTTAACTCTTCTTCTGCTAGAGTCCTTGCAAAGGAAAAACAAGTCCACAACCATTACAATTGGAAAACTTATGGACCAATAATGTAATATTAACAGGAATGAAAAAAAAACTCTGCCTTTAGAAACACCAATAATATATAATTATATTAATAGTACATGTGTTAAAAATTTTAAGTGTGCATTAAATATTTTAATATTACTAAATTGCATTTTATCCACTATCTGAACAAAACTAACTTGTCTCTGGCCTTCTTTTTGTCCAACTTTTTGGATTTCTTCTCAATGGGAAGCATCTGAAACAAAGATTTCAATATAAATTTAATGTAATATTTTCATTTTGATCAGAGTCAGACATGAGTGCACCATACAAGGATAATACCTCCTCATCATCATCACTGTCATCATCACTGTCATCATCTTCATTGCCGTCACTTTCACCACTAAATTCATCAGCTGGCTGTAGAAAATATGAGACAGAGAAAAAATAAATTGAAACATAAGTGTTCACCAACCTATAGATAGTTTCATATTCAGTTAGAAAATTGACCACAACTTTACCATGTCATCATCATCACCATCCTCATCATCAGTACTTTTCTCCTGTGCAAGCTTTAACCAACTTTTGTTCTCATCACTGAAAGGTCTGAGTATAGATTTTGGGTTTTATCAAAATTTGATTCACATTTATTTTAGATTAAAGGAACTTATACTTTAAAAAACAGAATTTAAACAGAATTTAATTTAAACAGAATTAAACAGTATTTAATAAAGCAATCCTTACATTGACTTGAAATTCACTTTCACCTCTTCATCTAGGAAATTAACAAAAAAAGCTGAGGTAAATTTTAGTCTTCAGAGGGGATGCACTTGAAAAACATTTATTTCAATTTATTTGTTAAAACTTTTGTCAGTGGACGATCTGGGGAAGAGGCCTGCCCCTAAGGCTGACAGCTTGGTCCAGAAAATTTTCTTCCTGAGTTGGCCTACGCCATCTCAAAGTCTGGATTTGTACGTTAACATGGACAAAAATGAATCTTTTCAAATATCTATATTTGTGGTATATATTATAATGTTGCACTGCTACATGTACATCAATACTCAAACAGAACAATCATACCACTTGAATCTTCACCAAAAATGTCCTCAGACTGATTTCTGTCCTCATCATCACTACACTGCTCAAGATGCCTTTAAGGGTAAAAAATATGCAAATATATAAACATATCACACCCTGGATATTTATTTGGCCTAGCAATTGATAATGCCACTGACCCACTTCTGCTTATTACATGTAAGAATCAAATACTTGAAACAGATGTATCATCAGAAGCAAACTTACTCTTGTGATTTCTTTGTCTTTTTCATCTTTTTGTTCTCAGGCTGAAATCAAAAGAATTAGAAACAAGCTAAAGAACTGAAGTCCACCAAACAAATTTCTGTCTGATTAACCACAAATTACCTTATCACTGAATGAAACAACTTCATTTGAATCCACTGATTCCTTTAATTTTCTGAAAAAAAAGTTGTAGACACATTAATTTTATACACTAGTTCAAAGAGTTACCAGTGCAGCTAGTACTCCTAGGTACAAAGGATTAATTACCTCTTCTTAGCCTTTCGTATATGATTTTTCTCTCCACCACTTTTAACTGTGAAAGGAAACAAACATGTAATGAACTTCACTGTGGTAGTACTGGATAGAAATATCTTACAAACTACCTACATAAAATCCAGGTACAATGTAATTAGGATTACTGGCCACCCTTAATGTTTTTAGAATGTCAGAGAATATGAGGACAAGAGGATCCCATTTCACTGGGTGTATATATAGTTATATGTAGGCAAGGTTAAACTCAACCATCAGTGCATGGTCACCCATGTCAGCTTGTTTGAGGTCTAAGGCTCTACCAGCTGAAAGTACGTTCAAGTGATTCACAGTGTATTATCTTTATCAAATAATTAAAAATAGATTAAAAAGTTTGCTGAGTACTCTGTTGAGGTTTCTCAGACATAGGAGAAGTTCTAACATCCCACCAAATACCAGTATTCAAAATTAGTTCATGCTATATCAGGGTGCAAAGAAATTCATTTTTACACCTTGCCATTCGGGCAAGCTGAAGCTAGCATTTACTAGCCCAGACATCATTTCATCTAGCCCCAAATTCTTTTTGACAAGCAGAATTGATGTCACAGTTCTTCTGTTATTCTAATTGCCCAAAAAATATCACTTGCCTGCCGGGCAAGTTAAAAACAGAATTCACAAGCCCGATAGCAAAATCCACTAGCCCCAGGATATCGGACATTACTTTCTTTGCCCGCTGTATATACATGCACATTATATTATTATTATTATTATTATTATTATTATTATTTTTATTATTACTATTACTATTATTATTATTAAATTCCAAAGTCAACAATGAACAAAGCACAGTTATTTTCCCATGAAGTGCATAAGGTTTTGGTGATGATGCACATAGATGTGGCAAAGGCTGCATGCTTTTTACTTCACGTCTGCTACAAGATGGTATCATTTTACAACAACAAACAATACAATAGGGCTCTATTTTGTTATCTCACCAGTTAGGATGTTTTCTTAAAGATGCAAAAAAGAAAGGAAAAATGGGTTGGATTCTGAAGAATGAATACTCCTTTATAATGGACTCCTTCTGGCCAATCTTATACACCAATATTTTTTAAACATTTTTACGCTAAAAAACATAAGCTTGACGCTAAACAACGCATCCAATGCAGTTCATTGGATGTGTATAATATTATGTTAATGTACCATAATTTTAAGAAATGGGCTAATTAACCTAACTTGTTGCTCAAGTCATGCTAGCTTACTGTTGCTAAATGTTGCATAAATGGCTTCTCCACAACCTTATTGAGTAGAAAAAGAACTCAGAACGTATAATTCAGCTTATCGAGTATAATTTCAGCTGGGCATTACTGACCATGCTAAAGATAGCAGAAATGTTTACATTAGAAACATCAGCTTACCAAGGGCTACTGGTAATTCTGGAGCAGGCTGTTTCCTTGCTTTCCTTCCAGGACCTTTTGGTGCGGCCTCATTTGAAGATCTGTTTCTTCCCATTTTCGATTAAGACGGACAATTCTGTAAAAAAAAGCCAAAAAACTCTATTGGTTCTTACAAACCTCGCACGTGTGATTGAAAACGGACCGATCATTGCAAAGGGGTCTGGGAACGATGAATAAACGTGTGCGTTGAGTCTGCGGTTATGTCTGCGGTGGCTACTGTTGAGTATGCGTATTGACGACTTATTGTGGAAGCGGGAGTTTTGTTTTCATCGTGATGTTATACAAGACATAGTTTTACGCCGTTTTATGCAGTTTGAAATGGACAAACATTTAAGGATGTCTTAAATTTAGCTTCCAAAGATATCAAGATCTTCCCCAAGTGCTAACTGCAAATGGCGACTAGGGAATCAAATTAGCTGTTGTGACGAGCAAAAGTTGAGATGCTTCGTGCCCGGTGCAGCATCTGTACCGAAACTATCCAAGACAATGCAGCTTGCTGTCCTTGTATCTTTTGTCATAAGCAAAATTAATAACGTTCACTTTTGAGGAATCTGGTGTAATTTTGCTTAAAGTGATTTCATTGCTCATCAGAGGATTTGTATATCACAGAATCTTAAGCTTAATAGGTTTGGATTATTTTAGGAGAGTTGTTTAGTCTCTCTCCTGTTACGGTAATTGTTCCAATTTTTTAAAGACTTCGAGCTGCTTGCTCTGCTCAGTTGGTAGATTTTGTTTTTTTCTGTCCAAAAAAGCTAAAAAAGAAGGTGCCCCTTTTGTCATGAGCGTGAAATAGAGTTGAAACACATTAAATGTTAGACACTGGAAAATGGTAACCCTGGAAAATACGTTACTCCCGGGCGTTACTCTAACCCCTGTAGAGGTGTGGAGAGTTTCCTAACATGGCTTGTATGTTACCCATATGTGACACCATGTCACCCATGCTGTTTGCATCAACAATGTGAAAAGTTGCTTGTGAGGAGTCATACAAAAATAACTGTTATTATTCAGTGATTATTTTACTGTCAAACTCAGAAAACCCTTGAATCCCTTGAATATTTCAGGAATAGCAAATGAGTTTTGAGGAATCTTAATAAAGTTCGGGACACCTAAGCAAACCTTAAAACCACAAATTAGTAACCATTTGCTGTTTGCGTTTTCAAAATAAATGGTTAATTTGGTAAATTTATAATGTTGCACTGCTACATGTACATCAATACTCAAACAGAACAATCATACCACTTGAATCTTCACCAAAAATGTCCTCAGACTGATTTCTGTCCTCATCATCACTACACTGCTCAAGATGCCTTTAAGAGTAAACAATATGCAAATATGTAAATATATCATACCCTGAATATTTATTTGGTCTAGAAATTGATAATGCCACTGACCCACTTCTGCTTATTACATTTAAGAATCAAATACTTGAAACAGATGTATCATCAGAAGCAAACTTACTTTTGCGATTTCTTTGTCTTTTTCATCTTTTTGTTCTCAGGCTGAAATCAAAAGAATTAGAAACAAGCTAAAGAACTGAAGTCCACCAAACAAATTTTTGTCTGATTAACCACAAATTACCTTATCACTGAATGAAACAACTCCATTTGAATCCACTGATTCTTTTAATTTTCTGAAAAAAAAAAGATGTAGACATATTAATTTTATACAGTAGTTCAAAGAGTTACCAGCGCAGCTAGCACTCCTAGGTACAAAGGATTAATTACCTCTTCTTAGCCTTTCCTATATGATTTTTCTCTCCACCACTTTTAACTGTGAAAGGAAACAAACATGTAATGAACTTCACTGTGGTAGTACTGGATAGAAATATCTTACAGACTACCTACATAAAATCCAGGTACAATGTAATTAGGATTACTGGCCACCCTTAATGTTTTTAGAATGTCAGAGCATATGAGAACAAGAGGATCCCATTTCACTGGGTGTATATATAGTTATATTTAGGCAAGGTTAAACTCAACCACCAGTGCATGGTCACCCATGTCAGCTTGTTTGAGGTCTAAGGCTCTACCAGCTGAAAGTACGTTCAAGTGATTCACAGTGTACTATCTTTATCAAATAATTAAAAATAGATTAAAAAGTTTGCTGAGTACTCTGTTGAGGTTTCTCAGACATAGGAGAAGTTCTAACATTCCACCAAATACCAGTATTCGAAATTAGTTCATGCTATATCAAGGTGCAAAGAAATTCATTTTTACAGCTTGCCATTCGGGCAAGCTGAAGCTAGCATTCACTAGCCCAGACGTCATTTCATCTACCCCAAAATCTTTTTGACGAGCAGAATTGATGTCACAGTTCTTCTGATATTCTAATTGCTCAAAAAATATCACTTGTCCATCGGGCAAGTTAAAAACAGAATTCACTAGCCCAATAGCAAAATCCACTAGCCCCAGGCTATCAGACATTACTTTCTTTGCCAATGTATATACATGCATATTATATTATTACTACTACTATTATTATTATTATTATTATTATTACTATTATTATTATTATTATTATTATTATTATTATTATTATTATTATTATTATTATTATTATTATTATTATTATTATTATTATTATTATTATATTCCAAAGTCAACAATGTACAAAGCACAATTACTTTTACAAGTTATTTTCCCATGAAGTCCATAAGCTCATGGAGGTGATGCACATGGATGTGGCAAAGGCTGCATGCTTTTTACTTCACGTCTGCTTCAAGATGGTATCAATTTACAACGAACAATACAAAAGGGCTCTATTTTGTTGTCTGACCAGTTAGGATGTTTTCTTAAAGATGCCGAAAGAAGAAAGGAAAATGGGATGGATTCTGAAGAATGAATACCCCTTTATAATGGACTCCTTCTGGCCATATCTTAAACACCAATATTTTTTAAACATTTTTACGCCAAAAAACATAAGCTTAATGCTAAACAACGCATCCAATGCAATTCATTGGATGTGTATAATATTATGTTAATTTACCATAATTTTAATAGGCTATTGGGTGCTAAGCAGTAGCTATCATTAACCTAACTTGTTGCTCAAGACATGATTGCTTAAATGTTGCATAAATGGCTTCTCCACAACCTTATTGAGTAGAAAAAGAACTCAGAACGTATAATTCAGCTTATCGAGTATGATTTCAGCTGGGCATCGCTGACCATGTTGAAGATAGCAGAAATGTTTACATCAGAAACATCAGCTTACCAAGGTCTGCTGGTAATTCTGGAGCAGGCTGTTTCCTTGCTTTCCTTCCGGGACCTTTTGGTGCGGCTTCATTTGATGATCTGTTTCTTCCCATTTTCGATTAAGACGAACAATTCTCTTAAAAAAAGGCAAAAAAACTCTATTGGTTCTTACAAACCTCGCACGTGTGATTGAAAACGGACCGATCATTGCAAAGGGGTCTGGGAACGATGAATGAGCATGAATGAACGTCTGCGTTGAGTCTGCGGTGGCCTCTGTTGAGTATGCGTATTGACGACTTATTGTGGAAGCGGGAGTTTTGTTTTCATCGTGATTTATACAAGACATAGTTTTATGCAGTTTGAAATGGACGAACAGTTAAGGATATCTTAAATTTAGTTTCCAAAGATATCAAGATCTTCCCCAAGTGCTAACTGCAAATGGCGACTAGGGAATCAAATTAGCTGTTGTGACGAGCAAAAGTTGAGATGCTTCGTGCCCGGTGTAGCATCTGTACCGAAACTATCCAAGACAATGCAGCTTGCTGTCCTTGTATCTTTTGTCATAAGCAAAATTAATAACGTTCACTTCTGAGGAATCTGGTGTAATTTTGCTTAATGTGATTTCATTACTCATCAGAGGACTTGTATATCACAGAATCTTAAGCTTAATAGGTTTGGATTATTTTAGGAGAGTTGTTAAGTCTCTCTCCTGTTACGGTAATTGTTCCAATTTTTTAAAGACTTCGAGCTGCTTGCTGTGCTCAGTTAGTAGATTTTGTTTTTTGCTGTCCACAAAAGCTAAAAAAGAAAGTGTTCCTTTTGTCATGAGCGTGAAATAGAGTTGAAACACATTAAATGTTAGACACTGGAAAATACGTTACTCTAACCCCTGTAGAGGTGTGGAGAGTTTCCTAACATGGCTTGTATGTTACCCATATGTGACACCATGTCACCCATGCTGTTTGCATCAGCAATGTGAAAAGTTGCTTGTGAGGAGTCATACAAAAATAACTGTTATTATTCAGTGATTATTTTACTGTCAAACTCAGAAAACCCTTGAATCCCTTATTATAAAGTCCTTATCGTTTACTCAAAACTCCTTAGAATTATTTCAAGCCCTGTGGATTCGTTTGGAATTTTGGTGTTTAATCATTGGTAAACGACAAACGCAAAAGTTTTATTTACCAATTAAACCATTTTTAAATATTTGTTAATTTAATTAATTTAATTTCATATTAATTTTGTTTTAAAAATAATAATGATGATTATGATGTGTGTTTCCTTGACTCAGTTTGCTACACAGGTGGTCATGTTTATCACCTGCAATGGTAAGCTGCTCCTTGCTGTAGTTGTTTAATTAGATCACAATTAAAAATCAAGGGTTCATCTTCAAAGTAAATTAAATATTGCTTTGAATACTCTTTCATAGTCTGGACCAATCTCAAGCAAAAATAATATTGAGCTTTGACTAGAACTGAAACCCTAAATCACTTTATTACCTGCATCCCTGGTATGCAGGTTACACAGTGAGTAGGGGTGCAGTTGTAGTAGGTGAAAGCTCAATTTTTTGTTAGGTTTGTTTTTGATTACGTTGGACTTCCTTTATATTGTTTGTTCCTTAGACAAATGAGTTCACTTAATGAAGTCTAGTACAAAATACAACGTAATATTAATTATTTCTTCTTTGATGCATGTAGCATTGATAGATGGATCACAGAATGCAGTCGCACCTGCCCAACATGTCGAAAAAACACTTCCAAAGCATTGTTATTGTTCTTTGATGGGACAGATGTAAACAGTACACATATTGGGGATGATGTGGATAGCCTACAGGTATGACTTTACTACAATGTTGTACAGTTGACTCTCTCTTAACAGACACCTCTGCAAGATGGACACCTTGATGAAACAGACACCTAGAGTTGGTCCCTGCCTTTCTTTACCCGCT